ACTTACGACTTTGAGTCAAGATAGCACTCTTATCGACTTTTCCGAAGTGACCGTCTTTGATTTTTGAAGAGAATATTAGAATTCGCAGCAAAATCGGTAGTAAAAATTCATGTGTGCGTTTAATAGAAAGCTCGAAAAACATACTTAAATTTTGTACTTGAATTTTATAGTTTGTTCTATGTTGTACTGTTACACCACTGTCCAGGGTGAGGGGATGGTTGGCGCCTTCAAACATGTTTAACCACGCCACATTCTATATTTGCCTGTACCAAGCCTGTAATTGAGTGCATGGTTTGCCGTTATTTTCTCTAATGGTTGTTGTTGTAGGTTCATGTCTGTCATATGTGTTTTTCGTTAATTGTTTTGTTATTAGTTTACTCAACTGAATTGTTTCATATTTTTGTTGTCGGGGCCTTTTATAGCCGACACTACGGTATGTTTTTTTTCATTGTTAAAGGCTGTTCAATTGCCTATAATTACTTATATCCACATCATTTGAACTTTGGTAGATATTTGTCTCATTGGTAATCATACCATATCTCCTTATTTTTATATATTAACGAAATATTTTCAAACATTGAATAAAAACAAAAATGACAGAAGGAGGTGCTCCAAACGGTCCGAAGAAAACAAGAGACAATTTGTCTTTCCCTATTGTTAATTTTTTTCTTTTTTGAACGGCGATGTTGCTTTGGCACTGTCTTGCGGTGTTTATATATCCCAACTCGTTCGGTATGCCCGTGTCTGTAGTAACGTTTTGGATTTTAATGAACGTAATCTATGTATTACTGGTAAATTATTAGGTCATGAATTTCGTTACCACAAATTATTCAAAACCTTTACTAAATTCTTCTATAGATACAAATATTTGATTTTAAAAGGTTTGGCTGTATCTGTAGAAAACTGTTTATAACACAGCAAAACTTTTACGGTGATGTTGTTTACCGAGCCCGGAAATTTAGATACGATCTGGGTAAAATTATCAATCCTTTACGTATACTTATATATTCTAAAAGGTTACCAATTCAACACTGAGTGTAATTAGATCTTTGCATATTGTTTTTTTTTTTGGTATTGGTATAAATATTAATTTTGTTATCAGTAATTCTAACATGACGTTCTTCTAACGTTTTGAGTATACACCCGTGGTAAAATATGAATATATTATTTGGGCTGTTCCGATCGTACTCCCACGTCATATGCTTTTTTATGAATGAGCTACCCGACGTCATAGAACGATGACGTAAGAATATAATCATTTTACGGGAAAATACACGCTTGTGAAACCGAAAATCATCACAACAAGGAAACGTAAACAAACGATGCTAAAATGTTTTATATAAGCAATTTTTTGTATACATATAAGACATAGAAGTACAATTATCATTTAGATTGATTCAAACCTATCTAAATATGTTATTGTAAATAGTTTAAGCATGTCACTTATTCAGTTTGTTCCGTTCTTTTACGTCAATTTAATAGTGCGTTTATTTATAGGAACGGCAAATAATGCCTTCACCTAGAGCGCTTCGATCCAAAACAATTGCCGTATTTGTCCTATTAGAATCGAAATAATTCATGGGCCAACCCGTGGTAAAATCACGATATATTCAAGCCCCCATGAATTATTTCTTAAATTAACCCTTACCATGCGGTGCCCGTCATATGACAGGATTACCCAAACTTCCGTTCATGTTTGGCTCCAATGGCTCTCCATACTTTTAGAGGTCAACTTTATGACATTAATTTCGAAGTTTATGCATGTTTCCTCAACCTGAGGCTATTTATTGTCATGTTTCTCATGTTAAACATGCATTTTCAGCTCAAATACGAATTTTGAAAATTGAAATCGAATAAAACTGGTGTTTCTGGAGGAGTGGGCTTCCCTTCGGTGTCAGACACACGCAGTTCGGAGGCCTAAAACTTCAAAGATTAATGTAAATCTGCGGGAATATAACTTCTGATCGTTTTTATTATTGAAATCCACTTAGTGAACGACTACTTCTGGTTGCAGGTCCAGTTGAAGCCAAAAATCGGGAAAAATCGAGGAATTCCGGATTTTTGGTGCAAATGACCTTCTTTAGACTGCTGTACCAAGAACAATTTGACTCTGACCTAGGCTTTGTTGTGATTAATGTGTTCACTGGGGTGCACTCTACATGCAGACTACAGTAAGATACATCTATCAGTATCAGCATCCCTCGGTCTTCCTGGTCAAGAAATAGGACGAAAAATTGTCAAAATTGACGTTTTTCGCACCCGATGACCAACTTTGGGGCTAATTCCCGCCCACCAACCCCCGCCTCCTCACCCCGAGCACCTCAAACCGTGATCCCCTATTTCAGTTGAATCGTTTGGTATTTTTCTTGTCTCATTGTTGTTAGTTGTCTATGATTGCTTACATTCACTTCATTTGAACTTTGGACGATAGTTGTCTCATTGGCAATCATACCACATCTCTTTATTTTTTATGAGAAAAGCCAACTTTAACAAAGATGATTTTGAAACAATGCTAAAAGATATTCAGCAGAACAATAACACAGATATTATGCGGCATAACGGATGGGTTATATATTTATACTGTATTTGAAGGTTTTTCAATGTCTTATTATTGGAGTGGTCTTCTAAGCATACTGCATGCCAGTATTATATTTATACATGTTATAAAAATTACAGTTACATTTGTCGATGTGTATTTATTTCGTGTATTCTTAAGTCCGGGCTCACTTAACATGCTTGGCGTAAAAAAATAAAGGTCAGTCCGGGCTGTGAACTGAAGTCAGTGATCCCGGACTTAAGAGTATATAATTCTCTCATGAAAAAAACTTGAAGCCCGCGGTCATTTTACGTCACAACCCGGACTCGATTATTCAATATAAGATAAATTAGTTTACACGAAAGAAATTGTTTAATCAAATAATTATTTTCATTTATGGAAACTAGGTGTCGTCTTCGGAGAATTCTTCTAACTTTTGATTATGTGTTTTCAAAATTTACCTTGCAGATATGTATACAATCTTCAATTTACCAGAAATAAAATTAAATATTTACAAGTTTATATATATAAATTATATATTATCAAAAAAATAAATAAAAAATATTGACACTGACGAAGGCTATCATTTCAGCCGAAATATTTGTCAACACGATTTTATAACATCATCTTCGAATATTACCATCTTATATTAGTACCGTTGCGCAAGTCTTTAGACTTTCATAATTATTCTCCTTATCTGTGCAGTATCGTCTATTCTAAACAATCCGGTACATATTAAATCTGCTGGTTGGTCCTTTTTATAGACCTCTATATATATTATCATACATCCAATTCCAGTGCTCCAAAAATTAACTTCATTCCCTCAGTAGGGTACACAAAAGGAGAACCTAATGCTAGTAAATTTAGCCACTTTTCCCCAAAATTTTCTCAGTCCAGACTCCTGGTACGGCCTCTAGTCCGTGTCCGGGTTTCAGATCAAAGTCCGAGTCCGGAGTCCCATCCGGTCCGGTTTCAGGGCATACCCAATCAACTACACTGTTACAAAAGCAACGAGGTATCCCATGATGCAAATTATTGAACATATTTATAAATTTTTAAGAACATATATTTTATTTTATGAACACATATTTTTATTTTTTTGAATGAAAATTTTGTGTTTTTGAATATATATTGCACTTTTTATGAACAATTATTTTACTTTTAATTTTATGAACATAATAGATCAACTAATTATGAATCTGGTTTTGTTCATTTACATGTATTACACATTTGAACATCTGAATGATTTAGAGAGCCTCGTAATATATGTTAAGTGTCAGTTTTTTCAATTTTATTATTTTTGGAGGGTTTCAAAATTTACAATTTAGGAATTACTTTTTGTATTATTTTATTTGTGGTGGGATTTTACAGTGTATCCCAAACTCTGTCTTACCGACTTAATGTCAGACAAAAATTCATTCGGTCAGACAGAATTTTTTTTAGATTTTTTAGTTGAAAATATAGTAGAAGAGGTCAAATTACTTTTTCGGTCAGACAAGCCCTAAAGGTTGCACTTTGTAAATACAGTAGTTTCTCAAACCACGCCGCAGGATAAAAGACCGATCTATATGACAGGAAATGAACCACCGTCATGATTCTTTATATTATTCATCATACTTCCGACCGAGTCAGACATGGATTATAGCTCTGCGGGTGCTCTGCGGGTATCCCGATTGATCTCGAGCCGCGTTTCCTTTCCTTTTGAATATACAATTCCTTGATGCATGTAATATATATAGTGTTTGTTTACAAATAAAAGATTTTTATTTTATTTTGGCGATTGACTAACCCACTGAATGATTAGCAATGCATGATGGACTACTTGTCTATTATAATAACTGTCATCACTACTTAATTTTTCACTTATTGCCAGAAAAGAATTTTTCTTACTTTTTCTCTCTCGATTACTTGGTGACATCACCTTTGAATATACTCATTGTATCAAAAGAATTTTTTGCTGTGAGTATATTAATATATTCAAAACAAATTTCTATAAACTTTCATGCAAAAAAAATTATTTTATGAATGGACATGTGTAATTTGCAATAATGTATATCTCCATTGAGAGGCCCCTGACATACTGTAATTGCGTGAAGTCTTTGTTGTCGACAGCCAGTGACCGACAGGATATCATATAAATATCAGGTGTCCTACGTATTCATTCTGTGTGTCTTTAAAAAATCTTCAAAATATTTTTTTGAAAAAAATGTGTTTTTATATGAAATATTTTTCACGAATATGTGTTTTTATATGAAATATTTTTCACGAATACTTTTGGTCATGCACTGACTGTAACTCGTTATGTCACGGTTTATATAATTATATAATTACCACAATTATAAAGAGTTGTGAAAGGGTTGGTACGCACTTCATCAATCGGTCAACACATTTAAAAATACTTATAAACTTATCATATAACAAAAAGCATAATTTTTTAATACAAATCTGTACTTTATATTTACAGTGTTATCCCGCGGTTTCGGGATTGTTTGTTACAGTTTGAGGACTGTGCACCGAGTGCCACATGGAGCTTGGTGACTGTGTTGAATGGGAATCAGAACGATATGTGTTTGATGTTGAAACAAATGACAAATGGCAGAAGCAATAACGTCCAACGACAATGAATCAATCCAAGGTTAAGGACATCACTATATATTATCAAAAAAATTCTCTGATGTCAATACTATCCATCTTATTTTAGTTAATATTACGAAATGTATTATATTATTCCAGTTTCACGCCCAGTTGGTGAATGTTCCGGAATTTTTAATGTTTAATTAAATACACAACATTAACAATTCTTTGTTAATTAGAACTAAAAAGTTGTATCATCCTAATAAAAGCCGCAAGTTTAGCTCTTTACCGTTCAGTTGAAATCAATGTTTCAATTAAAATCTACGATATCTGAAGATATTATTTCAGTTCTTCAACAGCTTTTTAAAATAACATCGTGCAGGTAAATAAATCAAATCGGAAAATTTTATTTTCTAAAATTAGAACCGGAAACACGTTCTAAGGTCATGTGAGGGTTTCAAAATGGCTCCTCTCGGTAACAAGGAGTGGACGTACAGCTGTTTTCTCTGTTTTGATGAAGCCCTTCATAATTTTTAAGTAGTTTTAGATATCTAATAAAAATAAGTGGTTCAATATCTTTAAGAATTATGATAGCGATCTTTTTAAAGCCTTTAATTTTTCTTCACAAATCGGAACAAGACAAAGTAAGTTTTTCGCTTTCCTTTGCTACAAAAAAAATTCTCGATTTCGAAGTAACAGAGATATGGCTTGGATAAGCTGGTTCTCGGGTGACACATACATTTTGATTGAGTGTAAAGTGATACAATCGGATAGGACTGAGAATGTACGGGAGAACAATGCACGAAATTGAAAGTTGTTAGGAAGTGAAATATCGTTTGCTAGTATTGCAGTGTAAAAATGTCGTCAGACGAATCTGATGTCGAATTTGAAGGTTCAGTGAAACTGATGTAATCTGGTAATTAATGCCAAACAAGAGGTCTTAGCTGCTGAAGAAAGATTAAGAATTGGTCAGAATGACAGGGGATAGATGACAGTGAGGGCTATATTATGAGTCAAATAATGAGGATGACAAAGGGGAACAGGAGGTTAATATTAATGAGTGAGGACATGGTGGTGATGGATGGCACGATGAGTTAAATATTGTTGAAGGGGTCCACATATATTTGCTCCTTGTAGTAATACTGGGCCAAGTCATGTCATGGGTGCTGAAAAGGAGGTTTTAGATTTCTGGCAACTTTATATGGACAATCCTTTTCTTAAATGCATACTAAATCAACAAAACTGATAACTTTGCTTTCGACTGATTTTTAGTTTGTTCTTATGTTGTGCTGTAATACCACCATCCCAGGTAAGGGGGAAGGGTTGAGCGCTCACAAACATGTTTAACCCTGCCACATTCTTTATGTGTCTGTCCCAAGTCAGGAGCATGTAGTTCATTGGTTGTCGTTGGGTCATGTCTGTCATTTTTGTTTTTGGTTAATTGTTTTGTTATAAATTAGCTATATATATAGGCAGTTTTCTCAATTGAATTGTTTCATATTTTTCATGTCCGGGCCTTTTATAGCTGACTTTACGGTATGGGTTTTTCTCATTGATTAAGGCCATATGGTTGCCTATAATTGCTTACATCCACTTTATTTGAACTTTGGTGGAAAGTTGTCTTATTGGCAATCATACCTCATCTCCTTGTTTTTTTATATTTACTACAACATTCAGCAAAGGCCAAATGACAACAAAATGCCTTGGAGCTACATTTTAAATCATAAATGAAAGCATTTCTTGGTCTTGCATACCAAATGGGAATAAGTTGCTTACTTTGATAAATAAAGTGAACAACATCTTGATTCATTCTGTAATATTAAACCTGTTGTTTCATTATCGGTGGCATGGAAGGACAAAAAAAAATGTATCAATCTTGTTAACTATATATGATGAAAGTATTGGTCAAGTTAATACATGTAAATGTTGGCCAGTTCGCAAGAGGTTTAACTACCCCTTTGCCATTGTTGACTACACTTCAAATATGGGTGGCTTTGACAAAGCTGAGCAATACATCCAGTATTATTGTTATCTTCAGAAAACCTTGCAATGGCTCCAAAAAGTAGGTTTCAGTTTACTTGGGATGGTTAAGTTTAATGTCTACATATTATTTACCATTCATCCAACCTAACATTTCTTCAGTTTTCTTGTTTGCTGGTAAAAGGACTGATAAATAGATATTGTGCTGGGGTATGCATGGGAAGGCCGTTACTTGCCCCAGACCAGAGATTAGTTCAGACACATGCCTACAAACTGGAACAATAAAGGGATCGGAGGTGTCACGTCTGCTGTATTTTATTCTTGTTTGTTTAAATTTTATTGTTGAAAGTTCAAAATTTAGGTATCAAATTCTCGAAGTTAATTGTAATACACAATATAAATGGGAAGACATTGCTTAATTTTTTATCAGAATCTCAAGATTTGTGACTTAATATGGGGAAAATGAAACTGCACTGAATTATCAAGAAAGGATGAAACATATGTGTACACAATTAATGAGTGTAGAAATTCATTTTGTAAGTGAATATTCTTCACATAATTACAATGTATACATACGATAACTACAATAAAGTAGCTTCATAATGAAAATGGTAATTTAATAAATTTTAATACTCAGTGATTTTAAAACTTTGAAAAATACACAAACAGAAAATCCATGAACAAAGCTGTTGCATATTGATAATGGAGAAAGTTGAATAAAGACCCAACCTTTGACAGAAAAAAAGACCGACTACAAATGTACTTGTATGGTTGATCATGGTAATTTATCTATTTATAAAAGATAATCCTGATCAGCTATATTCTGCTATATTCTTCTGAAATAGGCAACATCGACTGATTGAACCCAAGCATTGAAAATATTTTTTTATTGCAGAGTTGTTTTTTTTTTTTTTTTTTTTTTTTTTTTGCAAAGTATTGCAATCTATACCATGGAAAATGAAAAAAAAATCATATCTAATTTGTTTAATTACACCCTTATCAGCGTTTACAATTAACAACGTATCTGTGATATCCGTATTTATTACATTGGTAGCAATGAATTACATTGATTTCCAAGTCAAATAAAAACCGATAATTTCACATGTGAAATGAACGTGGTTATTTCACTCTCTGACGTCATACAACAATAGGCGTTGTCAAGACGTCGATAACGTCGGATCAAAACAAATTGTGAATGCGTAGAAAAAGATATAGTTCCTTACATTTTCTACATTAATTTCATTAAAAAAGCCATTTGCCAATGTAATAAAAAGAATAACTAATCAAAGAATTCAAATATCGAAAAATATTCAACTCGTGACTGAACAACACTGATAATTAACTCATGCGCTACGCGCATTCGTGAATTAATGTGTTGTTCGGTCACTCGTTGAATATTTTTCTCTATTTTAATTCTTCGATTAGTTATTCTATAAATATCATGGCACTTTGAAAACGAGTAGTCGTTCGTCGATTGACAGAGTTGTCTTTTCATCAATACAAATGGCGGTCGGAAACGAAAAGTCAAACGGTCAATTTATGAGAGATAAAAAGCTGCGGACTTGCTTTAAACGATGTTTAAATGACAAAAACGTTTGATAAGACAAATAAGAGGACTCGGCCGTAACGATTTGCTGAATATTATCCGTTTTAAACACATTTTTCACGTAAACAAGTACATCTCAATATCGACATTTTGGCAACATTGAGCTAACAAGGTAACACAATCGAACTTTCAAGCATTGTAAAGTCATTATTCTTTGTTTTATTTTTTAAAGAATAGAAAAATCTTTTACAAAGCAATCTTTTTAACTTCTGTATCAGTTATTTTGGCGATCTGTGCCTGTGTTCTCGAGTTGCAGCATGTTTTTCAAGTTGCAACTTTTCTTGAAGCACCGCCCGCCACCGGTCACGAAATTAATTCATGCTGGAGAATCTGAGCGTGCAAATTTTGCTCGGCCACAGAAACCCGCGGAAAAAATTAAATCAGTGGTGAAAGTGTTAATAGAGAAAATCTGACTTGGAACTGGGACAGAATTGTTCAAAATAATGAGATCTACCTATTGACTATTCACATCAAAACTGTCAGACGACTTGTTATAGGAGTTATTGCCCTTAAATGAAGAATTTTACATTTTTTAAAAATTTTTTTACCTATTTTTTTTAAAATTATAAAAGAAAGAGTCTGAGAGAAACTTTAAATAGCAAAATTGATCACCACGACAACTTCTACAAGACTACATGGTCGAAATCGTCAGACAACTAATTGGAATTGCCCTTTAATGATGATTTTTATATTTATTTTTTTTTGTGCGTTTTTGCCATATATCTGAAAACCCATAATAGATGGATAGAAACTTTTATGAGCAAAAATGATCATTACGACAAGATCTACAAGTATATTAAATTTTGCCGAAATCGTTAGTAGACTCTTTATAGAAGTGATCGATTGCCTTAAATTACACTTTTTTACCTTTTTTTGTGTTTTGGGCAAAAACAAAAGAAAAAAAAGAGAGAAACAGTTTCTGTTAACAGAAAAAATGATCAGCAATACAAGATCAACAAAAAAAAATAAATTTTGTTATAAATTCTATTCTAGTCCACAATGCTGTAGTGTCCGTTGTTGAAGATACACATATACCTAGGTGAACGACACAGGCTCTATTGAGCCTCTAGTTGCAGTTTGTTTTTGTGTTGAACTGCAACATCCCCATTCTAGGTAAGGGGAGGGTTGAGCGCTCACAAACATGTTTAACCCAGTAACATTATGTATACTTATGTCTGTCAGGAGACTAACTCACTGGTTGTCGTTGGTTGCTGCGAGTGTCTTTCATATTTGATTTCCTGATATAAATGTTTTGTTATAAAGTTTTTCGTTTGAATTGTTTTACATTTTGTCGGGCCTGTTAAAGCTAAATATTGCGGTATGGATTTGCTCTTTGTTGATGGTCGTACGGTGACGCATAGTTGCTTACTTCCACATGATTTGAACCCTTGTGGATAATTGTCTCTTTGGCACCATACCAGTAATAAGTACTTCTTATTTTTATACTAAACAACAGAATTCAAGCATAACAATAATAATTAATATGTGTACTACTTAGAAGCTTAAGGTTATACTGCATTTTATGTTTATGACTTTATGTTATTATTATTATTATATGATAATCTGAAATTTAGATGTTATAGCCAAAAAACTCTTTCTTTACACCTTAAAGCACGAACTAGCTATTTCCATTTGAAACAAATTATTAAAAAAAAATAAGGGTACCTCACTTCAGCTGGAATTTTAAGTAATACAATGTGCATGCATTTTTGGTAT